CCACCTTTCAGTTACCATAATAGGATTTCCCACCCTCTTAACAGTCACAGTGGGGGCTAAGTTTCTAATACATAAAACTCAGGGGACACAATTCGAGCTTCAGTGAGTTTTGGGGGGACATAATTCAATCCACTACAAAACTCTTCCCCCCAAATAAAATATACTAGCCTTGCAATACCAAGGTCAGGGTTCATACTGGCCAGCCACCAAAATAAATAAATAAATAAAATATAAGAAAATGTACACAGAGTGGGTAAAAGGTGGAAATTGATAGGGCTAAAAGTGTGAATTGATTGAAACAATAGGAAAAGGTAGAAATCTTAACTAGGTAAATGTAATAGAAAGGTTTAAAGGAAAAGTAACTTTAAGGAAAATGTTGAAGTATGTTTTGAACATCAGACAGATGGTTGTAAGGGACTGTTAATAGTAAGTAAAGACTATAAATATGAAAATCTGAATAGAATGAACAAAGTAAATCAAAATTTAAGAAATTATGAGGGATTGACACTGTTTTCCAGTTTCTTAAATGTTTAATATCTGAGACTTTAACTGCTTTGTAGTAAATTAGTTATTTCTTAGGAAAGAGTATTTTTCTGCCTCACTATAAAAAGTAATGTGTCATTTTTACAGAAAGTTTTAAAATTTCTAAAATGTGGAATTTTTAATTTGCTAGGACTTCTATTAATCAGATCAGCAAAATCATTGAAAACAACTAATAATCTACATTAAACATAATGAATATCTTCCCTGTACTGGCCAGCCGCCAAAAATGAAAAAAAAGAAACATAATGAACATCTTATTAAAAACATTGTAGAGCTGTTAAAGCAGTAGGGAATTATCAAACAAAAAGTGAAGGAAAACTGGCAACTCAGAGCTAAGGAAGCACAGAAGTTGCTTTTGTTCTAAGAGCAGTCAGTGATACTCTCACTTGCAAGAGCTAATTGTTAAATTTCAGAAATTTTGCAAGCTAATTGTTAAACATAGCCTATATTAAAAGTAAGTATGTGGGTTTACTTCTGGACTGTCTGTTCCCTTCCATTGAATAACTGTTTTTATGCCAATTCCAAGCTGTTTTGGTTACTATAGCTTTCTAGTGTAGTTTTAAGTCAGGTAGTATAATGCCTCCTGCTTTACTCTTTTAGCTCAGGATTGCTTTGGCTATTTGGGTCTTCTCTTGTTCCGTGTGAATGTTAAGATTGCTTTTTCCATTTCTGTGAAGAATGTCATTGGTAATTTCATAGGGATTACATTGAATCTGTAGATGACTTTAGTTACCATGGACATTTTCAAGCATTCTACCAATCCATGAGAATGGAATGTCTCTCCATATTTTTGTGTCCCCTTTAATTTCTTTCATCAGCATTTTGTAGTTTTCATTGTAGACTTCGTTTACCTTGTTTTGTTAGATTTCTTCCTGGGTTTTTTGTTTTGGATATTTTTTAATAGCTGTTATTAATGGGATTGCTTTCTTGATTTGTTTTTCTGCTAGTTTGTTTTGTTGTTATATAGAAATGCTACTGATTTTTGTAGATTGATTTTATATCCTGCAGCTTTACTTAATTCGTTTATCAGTTCTAAGAGTTTTTGGTAGAGTCTTTAGGTTTTATTGTATATAAAATCATGTTATTTGCAAACAGAGGCAATTCGACTTACTCTTTTTCAATTTGGATGCCCTTTATTCTTTTTTCTTGCCTAATTGCTCTGGCTAGAACTTCCCGTACTGTATTAAATAGGAGTGGTGAGAACTGGCATCCTTATCTTGTTCCCGTTCCTAGAGGAAAAGGTTCCAACTTTTTCCCATTCAGAATGATGTTAGCTGTGGGTTTGTCATATGTCTTTTATCATAAATAGGAGTGGTGAGAACTGGCATCCTTATCTTGTTCCCGTTCCTAGAGGAAAAGGTTCCGACTTTTTCCCATTCAGAATGATGTTAGCTGTGGGTTTGTCATATGTCTTTTATCATCTTGAGATATTTTCCTTCTATACCTATTTTATTGAGAGTTTTTATCATAAAGGATGTTGAATTTTGTCAAGTGATTTTTCTCCATGTATTGAGATGATCATATGGTTTTTAACTTCCATTTTGTTGATGTGGTGTATCTCATTTATTGTTTTGCATATGTTGAACCATCCTTGCATCCCTGGGAGGAATCCCGCTTGATCATGGTGTATCTTTTTGATGTGCTCTTGGATTCTGTTTGCCTGTACTTTGTTGAGAATTTTTGCATCTAAGTTCATCAAGGATATTGGCCTATAGTTTTCTTTTATTGTTGTGTCTTTGCCTAGTTTTGGTATCAGGGTCACACTGGCCTCATAGAGTAAGTTTGGAGAATACCCTCTGCTTCAATTTTTTGGAATAATTTGAAAAGAATTGGTATTAAATCTTCAAAAGTTCAGTAGAATTTCAGCAGTGAAGCCATCTGGTCTTGGGTTTTCCTTCATTGGCAGATTCCCTGTGATTTTTCTTTTTACCAATTGTTTACTTAGGAGAGTGTTGTTTAAGTCCCACATGTTTGTGAATTTTCTAAATTTCCTTCTGTTTTTGAGGTCAGAGAACGTATTTTTCATGATCTTAAGTCTTTTTAAATGTCTTAAGGCTTGTTTTGTGGCCAAAAAAAAGAAACAACGATCACAATAATACATTGAACTTTCAAAAAAAAAAAATGATAAAAGAATGTGAATATTTCCATACACTTTTTTTTTTTTTTTTTTTTGTCCTTTTTGAGACCGGCCGCACCGCGCTCAGCCAGTGAGCGCTGTGAGCGCACCGGCCATCCCTATATAGGATCCGAACCTGCGGCGGGAGCACTGCTGTGCTCCCAGCGCTGCACTCTCCCGAGTGCACCACGGGCTCGGCCCTCCATAAACTTTTTGAAGACACCTTTGTGAAGACACACGCAGAATTATATATTACATACATATATAAAAATAATATAAAGTATTAAATGTTTTTGCATATATGTATGTATCTGCTTATTTTGTTAAAAATAGAAGAATAAGCCTTTCTTTAAATATTTGCATATAAGAACCAGGATATGATAAGAAAAAGGGATAGAGGCTGGACTTCTATTTTAATATCCTCTTTTTACAGATTTGACTTTGGAACTATTTTACCTATTAAAACAATGAAAAGTTTCAAGGAACCCCTAAAAATCAAAATTGAAAATAAAATGGAACAAATGAACCTAAGTGTGTATTTATTTGGCAGCATAACACCCAGGGAGGAAATATTCCAAGTGACTTTAAAACAGTAATACTACCATATGTCCTTAGTGGGCTGTACCATAAGGATAAAAATACTAGGGGAAAGAGTAATCATATCATGGTGGTGGTGTTGGTGTTGCTATTCCCTGTTGTGAGTGTAATATCAGATAAAATATGAGTCATTATGCAGTACTCTAATTTTATTATCCCCGGTATCTTGAGAACCAGAATTCTTCATATGTAAGACCGCAGATACAAATGTAAGGTAGAAGAGATTAACTAAAAATCCAGTGATTCTAATTTTTAATTAGAAGAACCAATATAAACTCATGGTGTACTTTATACTTTTATCTGTATCTCCATTCATCAGTTATCTGTATCTTACCCGCATCTACACATACTGAAGATTTGCCATAGGTTTATAATTATAGAATTATAATGGATACATTATGCTAATCAGTCTACTAATGGACTGTGCTAATCAATCTGTGAATGTTTTTATTTAAAAATTTTTATTATATTTTTAAAAGGACAATAAAACTATTTCATTAGATATTAATGTGAGCTTTTAAATACTTCTGAGTTTTTCGATGAATTGTTGTATCAATTAATCTTAGTATCTATAAAACAAACTTGATAACTATGATGAAAGGAGGAGTTACTCAACAATAATCATATTTACTCTGTCTTCTTAAACTATACAAACTCCCCAGACAAGTTGTTTGCTGTAAGTCTGGCTTTATAAGAAAATCAGAGTTGATCTTACCTAATTATCTGTAAAATAATTTTGTTTGTTATAAATTGAGAAAAAGATATGTGTGTATAACCACATAATTGCAATGTTTTTGGAAAAGTGCTCAAGGTTTTTGTTATTAATAGATTTTGTAGTTTTAATATATCAGTTAAAATAGTCTGTCTTCAAAATCATACTTGTTTTTGTGTAAAAATGTTTTAAATAAAAATGTTTATGAATGTTACTTTAGATTGCTTTTGTGTCTTATTTTGGCATTTTGACAACTTATAAATTATAAAATTAGTTAAAGTGAATTTAACTTTATCAATATTTTAAGGCATATTTTTCCCATTTATTGACTTTGCACAAATACTGCATTTAAGAATATAAGATGAACTGATTCAAAGGGGAAAAGTGCGAAATCAAGCATCTAGGATACTAATTAATATAGATTTCTTTTTTTAATAGAAAAATTAGAATAAAACCTGGTTTTTAAAAGTTACACTTAAACAGTAATGTAAGATTGTTAATGCTATCTGATGCGTGGAAATGTCTTTTAATTGATTTAATGTGATATGAACTTTATTTTTTTTATTTTTTTATTTTTTTCCTTTTTGTCTTTTTTACTGACCGGTAACGGGATCGCAACCCTCGGTGTTGCGCCCGTACCGGGGACTGGCAATGGGATCGCAACCCTCAATGTTGCACCCGCACTGTGCTCAGCCAGTGAGCGGGAACCGGTCTCCACATGGGATCCGAACCCTCGGCGGGAGCGCCACCGCGCTCCCAAGCGGTGCACTCTCCAGTGCGCCACCGGGCCGGCCCGTGATATGAACTTTAAAATAGCACCTGGGAAAATTCTAACTCAGCCAGTTCTAATTTACAGTACTGTTAGGTTATTAATTTTTTTAAAATTATCATATTGAACAAAATCTTATACGGATTGCTATTTTAAGGGTCTAACCACATTTAATCAATTATAAGATAGTTTACATATTTAACACACTTATTTTTTGAGAATATAAAACATAAATTTCTTTCTTTTTTTTTTTTTCCCATCAGAATACAGTCGTTTTGAAGCTAAAATACATGACTTACGGGAGCAGATGATGAACAGTAGCATTAGTTCAGGGTCAGGTTCTCTTCGAACTAGCCAGAAGCGATCCCTCTATGTCAGGTAAATTTTTTTTTACTTCTAATTATGACAACCCTTAATTATTTGTGCATGCAAATTACTTCAAATTTTTCGTTATGACTTATTTGGTTTTACTCTAGAAAAATGCGTTACAAATCAGTGAATTTTTTTTTTTATAATTGATTCCCTGGCATTGTCTTTCAGGAGTTATAATGTTATTAGAATTTTATTAATGAAAGTTATGTAAAGCCTTGAATAATAATGGTTTGATAAAGAAAGACAAAATATATGTGGACCAGATATTGTTTTAGATTAATGTTTTATTAGTGCTACAAGCTTGATATGTCATATTATCTAACACTTTTTTTTTTTTTTTTTTTTTTTTAAA